ATTCTTCATTATTTAATTTCTTTAAATATAACAAACAGCAATAATATTTGGAGGCACCAGTTTGAAAAGTGCATCCAAATAGAAAGAGAATTGACACAAAATGCCAAACTGAAATTAATAATCCTTCTAAGCTAATGCTCCTTCGGTCTAGTAAATTTATCAAAACACTAAAATGTGAAAATTGGAATTTGGTATTGGAGTGTAAAAATGCGGTATGTTGGAAAAATTTATCTTCAGATTATTAGGGAGAAAGAGACATTTGAATTTGTTCACTTCCTGGGGAAGGCAGTGTTTCACCTAATTTTTTTCATTCCTTGTGTGATCATTACTAGACATTAGAATGGATTTAAGTCATTTTGCCATAAACGTAATTTAAAAATGTAAAAAATATAACAACATCAATGTTTTGTTTATGTGCAGTTTCTATTATGGCACATATGTTCAAATGAATTAACAGCTCTTTTAGTAAAATTCTAATTAAGAACGATTTCTGGTTTGTTATTTAACATTAAAACTTTCTTACCCTGGATATGCTATGTAAATGTGATGATCTTATTCTGTTTTCACAAAATTATCAAATCAGTGACCAAAAATGTTTATAAAATTTTCATTTGTGCAACTGCTTGTAGTAGATAAGTTTTCCCTTATAATTTCATATGATAGTTACTGTGTTAAACTTTCAGTGATAGATATTGCAAACTAAGCGTGTACTGTTCAATTAATAGAAACTATCATTGATTTAGTTGTACATAGTCTGCTGTTAAGTTCAATTACAGAAAAATAAAGTGTATTTCTTATCCTCCCCTTCACCAGGCCTTTTGGGATCATCTTGGGCAGGCAATGATAGAATATCAAGTTCAAGGAAGAGGAAGTGGATGGATGAATTTGTATATTTTTATCCCAATATTTTGGTAGAGCATTTAGAAATGCTCTTGTCTAGTTTATAAATAAATGACTACAGTTTCCCCATAAATTAGTAAAACAGAAAGCAATGTGAGTGTAAAGTAAATTTGAATAAGAAATGATGACTCTATTCAATTTTAAAATTTCTTGTTACAGAGTAGAATGGAAAACCAGAATGAATTCTGGTGAAAATTAATGCATTTTAGTCTAGTTTTTGTATTAATGATTCACAAAAAGTGCACCCATCTCTCTTTTCTGTTCATTAAAACTCCACTAAAATCAGCTGGTTGTTTTGTTGGTTTATTGAGATAACGACAAAGCAAACTTGGGCCTAACGGGATGGAGGACTTTTCTAAGGGAAACTGGTGTACATGTTACACATGAGGAAAACCACAAAAGCACCCATGCATCCATCCAGTTCACGCTGTCTGAACCTTAGACTGAACTACCAGTGTTCAGTGTCTTTACCACTTGCCTGCTGGTGGACTTAGAAACAGCTAGTATTTATTATATATATTAGTGTAAGCATCTTACCAAAAGTTACTATCGGCAAATTTTCAGAATGTACCAAACTTGGAAAACCATGTGCATCAGAGTTCTTCAGGCAACTATGCACATAATAATTCTGTATATTGAACAAATAATATTTGCCGTTTTCAAATTCTTTTTGTTGCTTTAATGTACTCCAAGTTCCAATGGGTTTTATAGACAAATTCTGATATCTTATGTCTAAATGTATTTTAAAATAAGCACTTGTGGGATTTTCCTGCTGTGTAAGTAATTGCAATAAAATTTTGCAGGAATACAGCATTTTGCTCACAAATCACTAAAGCAGCAGTTTTCTACCTTTTGACTAACATGTACCATCTAAACAAAAATTGAAAATCTTTAGTTCCACCACTACAAAGTACTACTACTACCACCACTATTGCACAAAGCTCTGATCGCATAAATTTACAAGTGTTAGAGATAAAACTCAATCAGGATGTTGGGGTTTTAATAGTTAAAAATACTTTGCTTCTTTGCATACCACCGGTTGACAACCCCTACACTAAAGGGAATAGTTGTATGAATTTATTCTTAAAACAGCACTGTGAAATTTTCACCACAATAAAGGAAAAAAATAATAACTAGCTAGTAAGTATGTTGATTGATTTTTGGTATAAATACCTAAACTTAAAATATAAAATATGTACATAATAATAGGTATAAATGTAATAAATTCTTTCATTTATAAGTCTATTTTTTTTTCTTTTAAAAGTCCTCAGACTGCACTAAAGTGGTTGTGCTAATATGTATCAAATAATCCGTATTCAGAGAAATTAAAAATTACTTTATATACCTTCTTCAATTAAGCACAGTGGGCTTTGATCCTAAATGTTACTTAAATTGGTAAGGTTTTTACTGATAATAAGTAGTTAAAATATAGTTCTGCCAATTTATTAGATTGGGTATTTTTTCAAAAATTATCTGCTTTATAAAGAAATCATTGCAATGTCTATGTACTAAAATAATTATTATGATGTCATCTGTTTTATCAAGTTAAAGAAAATCTGCATTCATGTCCATTTAATGCTAAAATATTCTTTTGTTATTGCTTATATTTTTATAGCTTTAAATTTTATACTTATTAATTTTATTAATTTAATTCTTTTTCTGTAGCAGGGACAATATCTGAATTACCTGGTTAGAGGTACTTCTAACAAAATATTCATTTGGAGAAGAAGGTAAATGCCATGAAGCTGATGATTCATTTAATATGCTAGTGAGATTATATTTCAAAAAAAAAAACAATTTTTTCTGTTCTTCTTTCAAACTTTTTAAGTGGAATTATTGATTGATAATGTATAATAGTATGGCATTTTTACTTACTTAAAAAAACATATGTAGATTGTTTGATATTAATTATATTTTTTAAAGGCATTGGTCTTTTTTAAATCATAAATTCTTGTTAATTACTTAGCTTAATAGTCGATGCATTATTTTTTTTTAGCTGTGCAGATTTGCTATTACAACAGAATTATGATACGCCATTTCTAAGTTTATTGGTATTTCGAATTTATTAACTCTCTTTTATGCATAGTCCATAGAAAACAATTAAGAAAATATTGGTATTTGTTGCTAATGTTGCTTTAGAGGTTGTGGAGCTAGACAGTTAGCTTGTGTATGCTTTGCTTTAATTAAATAATACAGTCCAGTTGTGTTGCTAATATAGTGAAGCTAGTAGAGGGAATTCAAACTTTACTTATTCAGTATACTGAACTGAGCCTAATGAATTTATTCAAATAAATATGCAGTGCTTTTGAAAATTGTATTTCTTAAACACTGTAAAACATGCCTGAATGCTTCAGGTGTTAAAATGATTAGATATCTAAATATTTTATCTTCATTTAGGAGGTTTACTATCTATGGCAATTTGTTGCATGGAAGATAGAGAAATATGGCAGATATTAAAATAAATCACTCTATGATGGCGATGCAGTTTCACATAGGGTTAGGATTGGTTTTAGCTTGAATTCTATCATAGAAATCTGTTGTTGATCCCAAAGTTGACTGTCAATAACACATATTCAAAACTGTATTTCTTCTTGTGCTAATTCCACTGTAATAGAGCTACAGATACAAGTAAAGCTACTGCAGCATGCTGTATGTGTTTAACAAAAAGGGTTTCCAATACTAAATCAAAATTAAATGGTTGAGAAAAAAATAAGTTTTCATTGGAATTACTAAAATACTGTGTTGTTGGAACTTCACAACATTGCAAAACATGACCATGCAAATTAACTAAGAATGAAAACAAAAAGACTGTTTTTCCAGAAAGCTAAAAACTAAACTATACATTATTATTGTTCTTTTTATATAGTGTGCTTTAACACTTCTTTTTGTCAGTAATAATAAAACAAGAAGTCATCACAGGAGTTCCATCTCATTTAAGAATAAAAAATCTTGGTATAAATAGTGGTTTAGTCATTATATCAGCAATTTGCTCCTCTGTTGGTATCCACGGCACAATAATTTATTTTTCAATACTTCTGTCTCGTATGAAAAAATGCTTGACATCAAAGTGCTTAATAGCAATAGGTATTGATGAAACTCTGGATTTTGAAACTTTATCATTGCAGTAATGTTGTCTCCTTTAATTAATGTAACTTTATTAACCTGGTAACATCGCTAAATAATGGTTTTAATGAGACTTTCGCAGAACACTCACTAGCTGCAGTTATCTGTTTCAATAGTCAAAGTTGAAGCAATGGTGATCAATGATAGAGCTCAACCACTATACAATATTACGTGCCACTTGTATTGTTTTCCTGTCTCTTAACATCCTGAGAAATCTGCATCATTATAGCTCTCCAGTATTCTGATCTGTGTTTGTTCATGCATATAACGCCTTTAATAAAAGAACCTGCTCTGTATTTGAACAGAGGTTTCATGTTGATACAGTAGTCTTTTAAAGAATTTTCAAGGTGACATGAAAGAAGGTGAATACAGTATACTAAATTGCTTCTTGTACCTAGCATAAAATGCATTAAAGCTCCTGCAGGTTTCTCTGCTAGGGAATCTTTGTCTTAGGTTTGTCTTCCTTTTTCTTTTCATTTGAACTTCTCTTCAAGATAGGAGGTGACACAAGCTTGTGATCATCCATCCCAAATTTTTGAGGAATTTTTCTCGCTTAAGCTTGCCTACTAATTTTGTTGCTTCCATTTATCTTATTTTTTTTTTTCCCTTCAAGATACTGAATTTCAAATTCAAGAAAGTATACTGTTGGTTTCGTTGGGGTTCTGAATCTGAATTTGATGTCTGATGAATTTTTCAGATTCTTGCAAATCAGTTGATGGAACTGAACCATCATCTGCATGTAAATATGTGATTGATATTAAACAGACATCAGACTGAATAAGATACATTTTCTCATTAACTGCAATACTGAGAATTGAGTGGCTAATTCCTAGCTTTGTTACAACTAAATGTTTGATCATAATTATCTCCAAAATGTTGTGCGATCCTTTTAGCACCATGTCTACCTTTGAACTTATTAATAGACCTCTCATCATTTTTTTTATCTTATAAATCTATTTACATGATCTAGTTTTGACATCTTATGGTAATTTTTCTGAAGTCCATTTTTCATTTTCCGTCAGTGATGTCATTTCTGACTCCATAACTTCTATCCACTGTAACTTTGTTTACTGTTGATAGCTTCTTCATAAGTATCAGGCTATTCAGAAGCAACAATAAAAGCTTCACTTAGCATTATATATTGATCGAAACACTTCAGCTTTCTCAATTCAGCTCTACTCCTTAGGTTTCGTGGTTGTCTGTTGTTTTGTTTTCATGTTTTTGTTCTACAGTCTTTTTCCAACATATCGCCAGATATTTCTTTGTTTTGTTCAAAATTATATTCTTCACTAAGAAAATTGTCTTGATACTTGATCTTTTTCTGTATACTCAGTGTCAGAAATTAGTGTATTTTGAATAGGTACCTTTCCTTCACAATTTGTAAGCTTTTCATTTAATATTACACCACACTATTGGGTTCTTTTATCCATCAATGATATCTCTGTCAAACCCAATTAAATAAGCTTTTGTAGAGCTCCATGCTCTTCTTTGTTTAGATGTGAGTAAAACAAACAGATCCTATTATGTAAAGTCGTTTTATTCAAGGTCTCTTTTTAATCCAGAGATTGTATGACCTCCTAGTGGCGATTTGCCAGTTCTGTTTAGTATACGTTGGTGTTGAATAGTTCTGCCCACAATTTTGCAGGCAAATTACCTTCAGAATTTGAGTACTTGATCAGGCATTTTGATTATTGTATGCATATCTTTTTCATTGGAACCATTTTGCACAGGAATATAAGCTGTTTTATTCTTTTGAGTGGTTCTTTCAGCCTGCGAAATTGCATGCATGTTGTCATTGCCAAACTTGCCTTCGTAATCACTGAAAAATTCTTTGATTCCATAGGTTTCTAGCATGTGCAAGCATATTCTTTAACATATTTGCAACTCCTGACTAATTTTGATAAAATACCAAAATTTACTATAGCTGTCTTTAAATGCAACTAAATATCTTCTGGAAAAAAATTCACCACGAACATCAGCTGAAATTAATTAATCTACCAGGTTTGCTGGCTTTCTTTCTTTTGCTAAAAGATAAACTGCATGCTTCACATAATTTACTGACAAAAGGCAATTTAATACCTAATTCTTTCTCATGCTTGTCCTTAACATGATATTTATCTTGATGTTACTATTTCTGATGATATAACTGTAACAAGGAATTGTCTGCTTTGGTAGCATGCATTTATGTTAATTTTTAGGCATAACTAGTTCAATAGCTGTCTTGTACAAAGTACCATATATACTGCAGATTTCACTGAACGCTAGTTGACTGTTGCCTTTTAACAAATATTCTCTAGCTGTTGAAATAATTTAATATTCAGATTGACTCTTGAGTAGGAAGTAAAGGAATTAAATTTCTGTTTATCTCAGGTTCATGCCAGTAGAGGTATGGTAGAGGTAGACAGGCTTAGGTAGACTCTTTGGCCTTTATTTCCAACAGTTGTCTTTATACAAATTGTGCCTTTCCAAGTGCAACTCAAGCTGTTTCCCAGCAGCTTTGATTCTGCAAGACTTACATGAAATCAATAAAATATGTGGATAGTTCATGATGTGTCTCATAACTCCACTGTCAGTCCAAAATAATGTTGGATGAATTTCAGCTATACAGGCTTCTTTATGAATTAACACTAGTGTTACACTGGGATTATTTTCTTTAATGGGTCCTTGGTGACTTGTTCTTGAGTAGTTTTCTGCCAGTAATCCATTGTTTGCACTCTTGTTTACCAATGCATTGTTTACCAACGTTCTTTTTGCTTGTAATGCTATCAATATCATGACTTTTCATGATTTTCATCGGAATTTGGCTTTCTTATTTGTCAAATTGTGTCCTTTAACTGTTAGAAGCATTCAGAAACAGTATTTCAGATTAAACAAATGAGGAATATGTGGATATATGGTCGAGTAGATGGCAATGGATGCTTACCACAGAAAATTTACTAACAGCAATATCTAGGGAGGCATTTTCTGTACCATACCACCTTCATGGACATTGATTGATGGCTGTTGGAGACAGGATCCTTTCAAATAACAAGGAATAATGCAGGGCAAGAATGCAGTGTACATACATCTGTAACATAACATAAAACAAAGCACTGCATTGGTTTGCTGTTTCGCTGTTGACCAATACATGATCGGTTGCAATTGAACTGTGTATTCAGCACAAAATGATGTTGAATGTTCTGCTTGCAGTAAACAGGCACCCTTTCCGCATGCAGAGGGTCCAGCTCCTAGGGGATGACAATTACCCCCTGAGTAGAGTTCGTACACCGAATGCTTGATGCCACTTAGAATGATTCATAGTTTCCCTCCACTATTTTATTCTCAGATGAAGCTGCTTTTACGAAAGAAGGCTTGGTCAACATGCACAATAGGCATATATGCTCTTCGTTGATCCCCACACTACTGTCTTGTCAAAAGTGCAGATTCTGCCATGCTCAATAATAAATACTTCCTCGCTGCTTTTATTTTCCCCATATGCTTTGGAAATTTGCATAAAAGAAGTTTGCTTCTTCTCAACCACAGTGCTCCTAATCTTTGCATTTGTTTGGCCACTCTCTTCAAGGGTTCTCTTCAATTTTTGCTATTTTCATTTACTAATTGTGGTTTGTGATAGTATGTTCTATGGTGATTTCTTCAACCTCTTAATGCCTAATCACCCCATTGAATTTGTCAATTGAATTCAGGAACACCATGTATACAAAAGTACATTAGCAATTTAAAATACAAATTTTAATTATTAAGTAAGGATTATATGATAACAAAGAATGACAAACTTTTTTTTTTTGCAATATAGTTTTGTATATAATTAATTTATTATGACTAATAATAGCAGTTCTTTTTTCAGTATATTTAGTTTTTTATGAAACAATATATGCATCTCTTTCTGTAAATTTAATAAAAAAAATATTTTTTAATAAAAAAAAAAAATATTTTTAATCATAATTAATTATGGTAATTGCTTGAAAAATCAGTCTGACAACCCACAACACCATTAGAGATGGACGATTTTTTTGAACACATGCAGGAGTTAGCCAGCTTCGAAGGGGGGTATTGCCCAGATGACCTAATTGCCTGGCTTTGCATCAAAGGGAATAAAATTTATTAAAATTCAAACTTTTGTGAAAAATTAGAAATTAATTTAAAATTTTATAACATTAATAAAAATAAAATATTAATTGGATAAGTGTGTAATCATTTCTTTCATATTAATGTCTTAGCATTCTAAACAAAAGTTGTACTGCTGGCATGAATATAAACTACAAATTTCTTTTGCAGTAATTGCTCTAAGAATATATGAAGATAATTATATAATTAAAAATATGAAAGAAAATTCAAAGGTAATTTTAGAAATTGTAAAATATTAAATTTATTGTTTTATAAGTGTTATTGATTTCTGCTTTTTCATCATGTATTCTCTTTCATCATATTTCTCTTTAAGAATATTTTATGTATTTGCTATTTAGGACTGTGAGTAATTTGTAGTAATTGTCTTCAACTGTGTTTAAAATCAAGGTATTGTTTTTTTATTGATATGAAGTTATGATATCAGATTTGTACAAAAAAGTTCTTACATTTCCTGTTTGGGAGCACCAAAAAAGCCAAGTATGTACATTTTTAAGCAAAATTTATCAGTCAGTTCTTAACAATATTTTTGCTTCTTAATGTTTTCTATGTTTTTATAAGTTTCCAGAGATATAAATACTTTAAGAGCCCACCAGTGGCACAGTGGTAAAGTCACTGAACACTGGTAGTTCTGATCTGGATTTGATTCCAGCTGAACTGGCTAGATGCATGATTGTTTCCCCCATGCGCAATGTGTATATGAAACAGTTTCTCTTAGAAAGACCTCCACGAAGGCATCCCTCCCATTAGGTAGATTGCACTCGTGTGCTTTGCCATAATTAAATAAATCAAGCCAAACCATTAGTTACAACTTTATGCATACATTAAAAACTGATACGCAATCTAGGTGTTTGTTATTCCATAGGCAACTGTATCTCTTTTTCCGTAACAGCTACAAATGAACAGGACACGCAGCTGTTTGTTCCCTTTCAGCGAAAGTGTGCAAATATGGAGCATGCTCTTGGTACCTTCAAAAACTTTGTCGAGAAGTTGCTATCTCCATTTCTATAACAGCTGCAAATGAACAAGAACTGCTGTTGCCCCCAATATGAAGCCCATTTTTGCTACACTGCAAGTTTCGACAATATCCATATTAACCATGCTGCATATTAAGCATGCATTAAAAACACAGAGTTAAAATTTAGTTTCCTGACTTAGCCATATAATGATCAGTGCAGTTTTATAATTCTCTGAAAAGAGATGAGACAGGGAAAAAGTATATCAGTTACTTCAAAATACTTCTTTAGGAGTTATCTATAACTTATAAAAATAACTTGAAAGAATGTTATAATATAGATATTCTTTTCAAAATTGGGCAATAATATAAATTTAATAGCTCCCAAGTATTCAAAAAAAATTTTTTTAAATGGAGTAATCAGTTAAAATGTTATGCAGACTGAAATGATTTTTTTTGGTTGAAAGAAAAGCGGCATGAATTACATGATAATAATTAACATTATTAAAATTAATTTATATATATACAGTCAAAAGTCGTTAATCCGGATGCCCATAATCCGGAATGATCTATAATCCGGACCTCAAAGCTACAAACTTTCTGCGCATGCGTCAATGCACAATGCGTTCACACGTGCACGTAATACCTTTATGCATGCGCATAATACGTTTCTGCATGCGCGTTTAACGTATAACGGACGGTATAAGCTAAGCTAAAATTATCTAATTATCTATTTCAATTAATGTTGCAGATTGCGTTGTTCCTTAATCTTCAAATTGGATCTGGCTTATTATTTTTTGCAGACTGTTAGAGCAATTTTATAAAAGTAAGCTTGAACTTTCGATTATAGAATTTCCAATGCTGGATACTGCCAAAGGATCTACAAAGTGAAAGCATGTTTCGATGTCCATCAAAGAAAAAGTCGATTTGCCGCAAAAAATGGATAAAGGCATATCCTTTGTTTCTCTAACTATTCCGAAATCTGTTTATCAATTTCACGCTGCTCTGCAGGGGAGGGGAACATCGCGGTGCGCATCGAACTGGAAGTTGAATCTGTCCAGCACTATCCTTTATCTTCAGGGCAGATGGTTTTATTTTATATTCAGCTTATAGTTCATTACTAAATGTAGTATTTCATCTCGATGTACTATGGCTTTTATATGATTTAAATCAAATTCATTATAAATATCACGAATACACATCAATAGTTTTCTGGTTGCATATTTCTAATTTCGACTATGCGTATGTATGCTTTACGCATAAGTGCATTGAAAGAAATATTTAATAAAGTAAATAAATAAATATAACCTTTTTTTTTTTTTTTTTTGTAAATTTTGATACCCTTTAGGTCATAATTGTTCTTTATTTTATAAATTACGGTTCCATATTTTTAATTTTATAATTTCTGCATGCTATCTTACCAGATTTAAAATGATGATCTATAATCCGGAAAAATCGATAATCCGAAATCGCCGAAGTCCCGACGAGTCCGGATTAGACTTTTGACTGTATATATATTACAGTGCATGCAAGAACTTATATACTGACCTCTCTTGATGATACGATGCCTGTTCTTGAGCAGAAATTCATAACTTTTTTTCTTTAAAACAAGCAGCTGTGTGAAAAATATTTCCTGTTTAATTAGATTCCATTATACATTAGAATAATTTCAGACTTTTTTTTTTGACTGATTCAAAAAAGGATCAAAATTTCAATTTATTGCAAATTCGTACTTAGTAGAAGACATTAAAGGACATTTCACCTAAATGAAGGTGTTGCTATAACCCTTGCCTATAATAGCTCTTCAAAAATGTAAGCAGCAAAGGCTTCTAAGTTGAGAGGCATTTGAAAAATTTTTGGCATCAAGAAATACGAAATGAATGAATTTTGAATTTTAAAGAAAATACACTTATCAAAAAGATTTACTCATGGTAAATTAAAGATGGCAAAGAAAAATATTTCAAATATTTGAAGAAATATTAAAATACAGTAGTTAAAAGTCTGAAATCCAGACATCCAATATCTGAACCTCTGGACCACCAATTTTCTTTTTTTTTTTTTTTTAGAATTTACAAAATTTAGTAGTGTGGAGTATAATACTCCAGAAAAAGCAGGTGTGTCATAGAAGCGATTTTCTGCCCACTGAGATTTCTATCTCTCACTTTCAAACACTTGCTGCTCGAGGAATTGCACTGTGGCCTATGACAATACACTGATTGACGTTAGCTGAGATCACACTTTCAACCCTTGAGTGGTTGTGAAGTTGGGTGGTTAATATTTTCTGACCTTAACAATAAGTGAAACCCAAAGACATATTTGTTTGGCGTGGGATGTTGTTGCTAATGTTGGTTTTCTTTTGTTGGTATACTATTGGAAAGAGAGAAAGTTTTTATTTATAAGAAATAAAGTTCAGTTAACCCTTTAACTGTCAAATTATTTTGATGATTTGAGTACACAAATTGTCAAATTTTTTTATTGCAAAAGTCAAATGTTTAGTACAAAATAAAATATACTTAAGTAGCTAAAAATTGATATTTTGAAATACATGGGTAAAATTTTTAAAGTTTTGTAGCCACTGCATATTTGCTTGAGGCAGCTGCCACTCAACATGGCAGTTGTAAAGTTCACTTCTAGTGGAGCATTTTTCTAAAAATAAAAAAAATTAATTATTTTCTAAAACATAATAATAATAAGTGAATACCTAGTAGTAGTTCAGTAATTCCGTCTTGTGTGGTACAACTGGAAACACTTCTCCAAGCACAAACCAACTCATACACTACAACAGATCGTGTTCCTTCCTTATCTTTTTTTCCCATTTTTCCTTTTCGAACAGCACACTTTGCACTGTCTTTTAGGCTCACCTTTCGCAGGAGTAGTAGGAATATGGAGTATAAAATGTCGTTCAGTAAGACGGGCAGGGTTATCTATTGTGGTGGTCTGCCAACATTCTTTGTTAAAGGCTGCATCATCATATTTATGTAAAAGCTCTTCTACACTTGATTCGAAATTCTAAAAATGTAATACTTTTCCCAACTACATTTTTATAGAGCAAATATGATTTCCAGAGTACCTGTCTAGTAAATGTAAAATTCTTTTTATAATTTTTTCTGACGTTTCGAAAGTTGGATGAAAGGATATTCCTGATCACAGCGATCTACACCACCCTAGTAGACTGTAGTCAGAAACGATTCGGCTGATTATCTCCATTTTTTTATTTTGAGCTGACCATGGAGATCAGAATCTGCCATCACACCATCTAGTGATGAGTCGGTACTACGAACCGGGTATTTTTGTAACGGGTACTGAAAATCGGTACATCCAAGTACCCGTTACTTCAGTACCGAAATCGGTACTTTTGGTATTCGTACTTCTGTATACTTCGAAACGGGTTATTCGTTACTTCTGTACCGAAACGGGTGCTTTTCGGTATTCGCTACTTTGTAACGAAAATATGCGTCTCTTCTCGGTATTTCGGTATTCGTTACTGGAGGATCGATGAGGGTTCAGCTCACTTCGGTTTTGGTACGAGGACAGTAGTATCTGGTTGTATTTGCGAAATGGTGATATGCGCTCCTTGTGTCCATGAATGACCTTGAAATAGGGCATGGAATGGCAAACGTGAAAGGGGGGAAAACTTTCCGTTCCGTTCGTCACGGAGACTAGAGTTTGAGGTAGTATAATTAATTGCCTTTGTGTGCGCGGGAGGACGAGTGTGAAATAGTGGAAATTTTTCGAAAGGCCGTTCGTTGTGTGTGTGTGTGGGGGGAATAGTAGCAGTTGGAGTCACTGTCGCCGGCATTGCTCGCTTGTGATTGGAGTCGGTATAGTCAGGAGGGAAAGGGAGGGGAGCGCTAGATGATTTGCAATCCGAATTGTGCATGTTTTAATTTTTCATCGTTTGTAGGAGAAAAACTGCGTGGATCTGAAATGATTGATTTGGTAAGTTGCTGTTGTTGGATTGGTGAATGGAATCAACTACCAACTAGATTACTTCCTTTTCCTCAACATATTTTTAGCATAAATCATGAAAAATATTTTTCGTTTGCTTGCTTAATAGGGCAACGTAAATCATATGATCCTTTTTAAATAAATATGATCCTTTTTTTATCCCGCTGTACCTACTTCAGAAAATGTCACAGCATCTAGTGGATCACTAAGCCAATCAACATAAAATACAGACGCAATTTTAAACTTTTCTAATGAAAGAACAAAGATAACTGACCCACTTATGATAATTCTTCCCCCTTCTAAAAACACAGA